ATCTCCACCATCTCCACGACCATCTCCTCGGGCATCCGGAAAGACATTTTTCGATAAGAGGAGTCGACAATCTACACGGTTGAAGGGCTTGACCGTTAGACACATATCCGGCCGGAAGTTATACGTAGTGCTGTTGATCCTAGGGCTGGCAAGGTGTCGGGTCCCTTTAGTACCCAATTTAGTAGCTACTTGGGTACACTAGCTAGAGAGAAGGTATTTATTCTATTTCAAAGTTAATTTCATTTCAAATATATTGTTGATACTTATGTTGTTTATGTTGTGTAGATATCTATTCTCCATCCTACTTGGGATCATGTGGAGGAAGCTGTGAAAAACTTGTTATGGCAAGATCTTCTTGTAAGTATGTGTATTTAGTTGTTTATATTGTTTATACATTATTATCAATTGGTTAACTAAAACTTGTTTGCTATTTGTAGGAACACTTTGATATAGTCAATTCGAGGATGTGAGGAGGAAGATAACGACGACCATAGCAAAAATGTGGAGACAGTTCAAGTCCACATTGACCACTAAATGGGTGTATGCTGAGGACAAAGTTAGGAAGGGATTAACCCCTTGCCAAAGATATGGCATAGATGAGGACACTTGGAAGAAGTTTGTACATAGTAGGACTGGTTCGGAGTGGGAGGTAATGTTAATTGCTTAATTGACTTGAACATTTTATAATGAGTTGTGTATCTAATATTGTGTTCAATTATGTTGCGGGAAAGAAGACAAAAAGCAAAAGACATTCAAAGCAAGAATGTCGCCCCCACCTTACGTCTCGTGGTGGGTACGACCTATTGACAAAGAAGATGATGGAGGAGAAGATGAGACTTCGACAGTCGGAGTTAGCCTCTTCCGGTTTAAGCGAAGAGCAGATTCCTCCACCATCTCCTCCAAAACGTCACCGAAGTGGAAGAGGGCTCGTACAAAGCCTTCCGGTGACATGACATCGCAGGAAGCCCGAGAAATTGCTGCTCGGATTGTAAATAAAAGAAGTTAATTTACTTTGAATTAGTTATATGTAACTTGTTCATTAATAAAATTAACTTTTATAATGTAGGATGCCTTGGAGGAGCAGGTGTACACGGGGAACTTTCATCCCTTACGGTCGTCAGGATATCTTGACCACTTGCTATTGGACGACCGGAACATCCAGGTCGTGTTCGAGCTGTTGGCCAAGGTGTGGGTGTCTGACGGTATTTTGGACCACCATCACGGGATATCCGCACCTCCACATCCCCGAGCCAAGAAGATATTCGTTGCCTTGGAGATGACTCTCACGGAGAAATTGACACCGACCATCGGGGCAAAATTGGAGGAAGAGTTGACTCCTGCCATCGGCGCACGACTTGAGGAGACCATCACTTGCACGTGTGCAAGAGCGGTTCTGCGTATGACCTCCATGGGTACTTCATTTGCTTGATGCTCATCCTCCATCAGGTGCATTTTCAACCACAAATTGGTACTTGACTTATGTTTCTAAAATCTTAGTCCTTATTGGAATTTATTGTATTTGTAGGTCCAAGAGTTAGCACAAAGGGCAGTTGTCTTGAAGCCACTATCGAGGTCACACCCGAGGTGGCATCTATTAATCCTGAATCCACAAAGGATGATCGATATGGCTTGTGGGTTGAGGTAGATGAAGGTCGAAGGCTAGTGGCCCATGGATCGGTTCATGAAGGGGCTTCAACCATCCACAATGTGCCTTTGGATCCTAACTTGGTCAAAGTAGTGGTTGAAAAGGTGGTTGACGCTGCGGCTAGTGTCCCTATCCCCATCGAAGAGGTGCGGACAGTGGGCCAAGCCCTTCGAGACCTTCATTACTTGGCCCCGACATTTAGTTAGGTCAATAATGACAAAGGTATGTATATGTATGGTTATAATACATCTAACACATAAATAAATTGATTTATTGGTTATGATTATATTTTATAAAATATGTAGGATGTTCGGCGGCCAAAAGACTTGGGTAAAGCTATTGCCACTCCTTCGCATCTAAGGAGAAGACACCAGTTGTGGAGACTTCTCCAAATCCAATTTTTGATCTCTTGTCTCTTTCCCCACAATTGTATCTGCAGTCATTCCAAGTTCCATGGGATTGTACATTATTTGGGATGGCTTCTAGCAATATCCCCCTATACATTTCCCACACCGATGCCCTGGAGATTGGGATGGGCAATCAATGTCTAAATATAGCTGTTTTACAATTTTGGACATTGTAAGTTCATATCTTTCATGACTCTTTTCATTTTAGTAAATATATAAGCTATAAGTTCACTTAAATTGGCATATTTTAGGATGATGCATGAAATGATAGTGGAGTAGGGCATTGGTCATGTGTATGGATTCTTCGAGCCTCAATCCATACAAAAGTCCGGAAATAAGCGTGATCAAATTCTCGGTTACATGCGGAATTGGATCACCGATTCTAAAAGAGATATTTACCTTGGAGCATACCATCATTCGTAAGTTATCCCAGCCTCTTCCGGTTTTACACAAGTTTTTTTAATAGATTCTAATCATGTGTATATACAGAAACCACTGACAGCTATTAGTTAGTTGTCCAAAGCAAAATCTTGTGTGTTGGTTCTACTCATTGGGAAGGAAACCTGACATGGAGCTAAAAAATATAGTAAACAAGTAAGTATTTCTTATATTATGTCTAAACATCTTGATTATTCTATTTCTAACCCCCTTCTTTTCAATATATAGTGCTCTAAAGGTTTGTAGTACATTAGGTGGAAAACACACAAGTAAAAGCACAGCTCCAAATTGGAATTTTATCAAAGTAAGTAGCCTTTATATATATTATACTATCTATTAATTTATGTTCAAATTTAATAGTTATTTTTAACATATTTAGTCATTTTTAGTGTAACAAACAAAATGGAGGATACGAGTGCGGCTACTATGTAATGTATTGGATGTGGCTCATCATTTTTGATAGCATTCGGGATAGTTGGAATGAGGTAAGTTGACATTTGCTATTATATTCAATTCCTTTATTTTTATTGCTTAGGGTTTACCATTCTATTATTGTGAACTTCTTACAGGCATTTAAAGATATAGAACCTTTGCCTATGGATACTATAGACATGGTTAGAAACAAATGGGCGAGAAAAGTTTGTACAAGTAGTTAGGAATAAGATTGATTGATAATTTTTTGTGTATTTTGTACATAATTTGACTGATTTTGACATATATATCTATCATTTTATATATTAGTGATTAGTTGAAATAAATATACTGTCTGGACTGAGATTACATCAGGTCGTGTACTGTTGGTGGCACTAAAACAGACCTACATTTAAAAAAAAAAAAGATATTCTACGTCGGTTATTGCATTAACCGGCGTTGTAACGTCGGTCGCTTGAGCGATACAGAGGTCGCTTGAGCGATACAGAACCCGAGAGTCCCCTTTGTTTGAAGGCTTCTTCGCTCAAGCGAGCACACCGGTCGCTTGAGCGAGAAAGGACTTTCAACGTCGGTTAGTTCAATAACCGACGTAGAATTTACTAATTTCTACGACGGACATTTGGTTAACCGACGTAGATATATATCACTTTCAACGTCGGGTATTCTGAACCGACGTAGAATCCTTTGACATTCAACGACGCCTGAATCAACGACGTCATTGGAACCGACGTTGAATGCCTTCCACACCCGACGTTGAATGATCATTCTGTAGTAGTGTGTTTTCCTTATAGGGAAACACATATGCGGTGATCTGATTGGTGTTGGCGGCTTGAAGGTGTCAAGGCTGAAGCAGGAACTAGTTGAGTCCGGTGATGCTTTGAACAAGTCTTTGGAGACCAACTCGGCTTTAAACGAAAAGGTTCAAGCTCTTCTTGAGAGGGTGAAGGAGCTTGAGGAGAAGATAGACATAACCAAGAGGACGAAGTGGCGGACCAAATGTTTGGGGGTCGAGAAGCACGAGATGATTTTAAAGGAATACATAAACTTGGTGAGCATAATCTTGTCGTGATAACATTGTCCAAGGATGAGGAACTAAAAAGGAGATGGACACTGTTGAGAAGGAGATGAAAGACTTGAAGTTGTACATAATGAGGGGAGCACATTAATGGCCTTAAGAAGGCATTGCGCAGGCAAATATGTTGTTCGACACTCCTTTTGGGAATGACCATTTTGGCGTTGATAATTGTGTGTGTGTCAGGGCCATTTGGTCCCACTAGATGACATTAAGGAAGAGTGATATTGTAATGTTTGGCGTGTCCACATAATAGGTTGTATGACTTTGCTTTTTAGAATGCAATTTTAATTTTTGTGCTTTATTACTTTATTTTTTCTCCTTATGTTAAAGTCGTATTTTGCTCGATCCCTTTGTTTTATTTTTGCCGCTTGTTCACTGTTTCATTTGTGATTTATGTGTGTTTCATTTGGCCCGGGAGGGATTATTCGCAGTTGAATGATGCTTCCTAACCCGGGGTATTGTAGACATGATGTCTGGACTTCCGGTCGTGCAACTAGAAGGGATCACTTAGTGGTAAAGTCAAGCATCCTAGGCCGACAGTGGGTGTTCTTTGAATTTAAAGTGCCTTGTTAAAACCTTCCCCTAGCAAAACCCTCCTTAGGGCAAAATCTAGAGACAGGAAAAAGATATACGTTGTGAGAAGAAAATGTACATTTAATTTAACTAAAATAAAACTTCAATGACTTGGCGTTCCACATTCTCAGAATTTGCTCGCTGGATAAGTGTTCCAATCAGTACACCCTGTTGTTCAAGGATTATGTTATCATAGGAACTTTCCCAGTTAAATGCGAACTTTCCTTCCATCAGATTTCTTTTGGATTGTTTCTCACTCGTAGCACTAAATTCTCGTTTGGGAAGGACCTCAGTGTTGGTTAGATACCTTCGGGCGGCTTGGCTTTAGCTGTTGTTTCTCGGAACTGCACCTTGTTTCTTCTTTCTTCTACCAAATCGACCATTACTCGCCTGTTTTCTTCATTTTTTGTTGAGTTTATGTCCCTACTCACTATCGACTCTCTAATTTCAACCTGCAGAACTGTGTCCACTCTGTAAACGAGGTTACACAGTGTTTCACATGTAGAGGTTTGGGGTGTGCATCGATAAGCCCACAAGGCTTATCGCCTTCTTTTCCTTAGATTATGACAGTTGAAATTGTATTCTCGGACACGACTATGTAGAGCAACAGTGAAAGGTCGGGGGTTGGTTTTTGTAATATCGATGGGGATGCTAGGAATTATTTGATATCCAAGAACATTGTTTCATACAGTGCGTTTCATTCGAACTTATGTGACTTTCTCATTAGACCGATGATTGACTTTGTTTTCTCTGTCAACCTAGGTATGAATCGTGACAGAGAAGTGAGTTTCTCGATTAACCGTTGTACCTCATTCAGGTTTCTCTAATACGTTGCGCCAACGGTTTTTAGGCCGAACAACATGACCTAGTAGCAGTAGTTGGCATTCTTTATTGTGAAAGTCGTTTTCTCCATATCTTGGTGGTACATCCGCATTTGGTTGTACCCAGAATATGTGTTGAGGAAGGAAAACGATTCTTTGACAACTGAGAACAAACATCCGTTCGACAACCGGAGTTAAAAAGAAATTAATAAAAAATAAGGGTTTGACTAGCTAAATTGTAGAGGGGTAGAGATGTAATATTGTAAAAATGGGGATGTAATGGTAAAATGTGAAATATTTGTTCTTCCTCTCGCTCTCGCTCTCGGGTGTCTTCTCCGTCGCTGTTCTTCCTCTCCCTCTCGCTTTGTCTATGTTTAAATATTCGGTTCTATTCATTTGGTTTAGGGTTTAATTTGGTTGTTGATTACGGTTTTGAATTCGTTTGCATTGTAAAGAAGAAGCATACAACAACCATCGAGGTTAATGTATTCTTTGCTTTCTAATTACTCACAGATTCTCTGTTCTCTGTTTTCGTTCACTGTTGACTATCTCAATAGTCATAAACATAAACCATGGCTGGCAAAAGAAAAAGCTGCAAGCGCACCCATGGCAGTGACTTCTTCAGGGGAAGGAGGTGATGGCGACCTTAGATAGCGGTTAATTAGAACCGCTTTTAAAAATATATATTAGATAGCGGTTCTCTGTGAACCGCTATCTAAAATATAGTTCAGATAGCGGTTGGCCAAATAACCGCTATCTAAAGTCATATATGTCAAAGTGATCGACTATAATTGGATAATAATCGATCATAATGTATAGTTAAGATAGCGGTTGGCCAAATAACCGCTATCTAAAGTCATATATGTCAAAGTGATCGACTATAATTGGATAATAATCGATCATAATGTATAGTTTAGATAGCGGTTGGTCAAATAACCGCTATCTAAAGTCATATATGTCACTGTAATCGACTATAATTGGATAATAATCGATCATAATATTCGATCAGGGAGGAGATACCGGTTGGAGGAGAAGATAAGGACAGCTTTCTTCCATTCCACTCTTGCTCCAATCCCAATAGTCTGAGATTGAAGATGATGTCACCAGTTAGCCAAGAAGGTTTATGGCAAACTGGAAGGAGTGTTGAGAGATAAATGATCTACCTTAGGTAATGCTTTGTTTTCAGTGGGAACCGGTGGAGATTGAGGTGAAGGTCTTGTAGTCTCTGGATTGGTTGGAGTAGAGCTAGTACATCGGACACCTGCGCCAACTTGAGAAGAATGCTCATCCGAAATGAGAGTCGATGCAGCGGAGCGATTTGAGCATCATTGCTCGGTGTCACGGATTCCCCATGGTTGGCTTCCGGCTCGCAATCGAGGTCCTTCTATCCCATCCCGGTTAGGATATGTTAGAAGAGAAGGTCGAGATCAAGCCAAACTCGTTTTTATAGAAGATTTTCAAAACTCGCTGGTTTAATTAATCTATTAAAAGATTCTTTTAATCTGTTAAAAGTGCAGTTTTAATCTGTTAAAACTTCTTTTAATCCATTAATACGTTCTTGATTCTTTAACAGACTTTGTTTTAATTGATACGACAACGTTTATATCAATTAAAACACTTTATAAAAAATCTTCTACGTTGATTTAATCGATTGTTTCGCGATTCAATCGATTGAAATACAACAAAACTTTCTTATAAAACTTTTCAAGTTATTTTAATCGATAAAAATAAGTTTTAATCGATTAAAACTCAGTAAAGAAAATTTCTAAGTTGTTTTAATCGATTGAAACGAGATATAATCGATTAAAAGATTTCTGATCGGTCATAACTAAATTCTGATCGATCATAACTGACTCTGATCGGTCATAATTTTCTTCTAATCGATCATCCTGACCCTTTAAGTGATTTTAATCGATTGAAACGTGTTTTAATCGATTGGAACGTCACTAAGTCATTGAAACGTTGTTAACATGACAACTACATCTCTCGTTTTCATTTATATCTCCCATGCTAGATAAACGATGAAGGATACAAGTGCCTACCATTGACAACAATATAATAGCAACCATCTCCTTTAAATTATATTCATATTACAATACACTAGTTTACCTACTTACATCATGCAAAGATACGATCGCTTGAGCGATCAGTGAACGACAGTACGAAACGTCCTACGCAGCTTAGCCATCTAATAAATCTTGGTTCATAACATTTAACATTCAACTGTCGCTCAAGCGATTACAGAGTCCCTTGAGCGCGACTGAACCCGAAGCAACCTTACATAGTGGTTAATAAGAACCGCTTTTAAAAATATATATTAGATAGCGGTTAAACGTTAACCGCTGTCTAAGGTCTGTCAATAATCGACTATAAGCTATAGTAATCGATCATATTCTCTCATTTTTCTAAATTCGCTTGAGCGACTTTATCATCGCTCGAGCGAAGCCACCTGATAGAATGGGGATTCTCGGGTTGTGTTTCGCTTGAGCGACTATAGTCTCGCTCAAGCGAAATTTGATTGACTTTGCAGAGCGGTTAATATGTTAACCGCTCTTAAAGGTAAACATATGTTAGCCTTTCACAGGGAAAGCTTTCAAAAAGTCGCTTGGCGCCTTTTCAGCCCACATATTAGAATCATGAATAAGAAAGCTCTTGGCGCCTTTGTACGAGCTCATATGAGAAAAAGTAACTCAAGGGTACACTTTTCTCCTTCTAGGATTTGCAGGAGTTCAGTGTCGTTTGGTAAAGGTTCAACTGTCGCTGTCGCTCAAGCGATTATATAGTCGCTCGAGCGCGAGGCGACCTTAGATAGCGGTTGGCAAAATAACCGCTATAATAAATGTAGTTTAGATAGCGGTTGAGCAAATAACCGCTATCTAAAGTCATATATGTCAATCTGATCGATTATAATTGGATAATAATCGATCATAATGTATTGTTCATATTGTACAGGAGCAAGTTCAGAAATTTCGAGAAGAATATGTATGCAGATGGGTACTTCATCCTCAAAATCTCCATCGACAAGTCATGGTTATTGAAGCAGGAGTTAACATCCTCATGTAGGAGTACAAATTTATATATTGTATTTGATTATTTGTTCATCTTCATTGATGAATATTGTACAGTTTATTCATATGTAATATAATTGTTAAGTTGGTTATGGATCATTTAAATGTTAAATATTATGACATTATAAATATTTGTATCATCTGCAAGTACCCAAACTGTGACCACGAAGGAGGTGATAGCCCCAAAGGTCCTTGACACCCAATACTTTGGCAATAACGGATTTGACTTCATAAGCAAAATATAACCCATCATATACCACTTATTGAAAGTGATCCTACCAAATATCTCATTGATTTGATCAAGTCAAAGATAATTGTGCTAGAAGATTTAGTGTGTGTAACAGAAAGCTTAGGTTAAACCATTTTACCTTTTCTGCTGCATAAAGTTTCTTCATTCATTTTGCAAAATGCCTCAAAAATAGTTTTCAACAAATAAAAAACAAAAGCATTTTGACAAAGAACTTTCTTAATAATGTTTTTAACTGATAATGCTTTCAAAGAAATGATTAAAATCACTTAGAATGTTTAAAGAAGTGTTTTTACAGTATTTTAATCGATACAAACTTCTTTTAATCGATTAAAACCCCTGGAAACTCTTTATGATCGATTACAATTCAAATATGACCGATCAGAACTCTTTTAATCGATTAAAACACGTTTCAATCGATTAAAACCACTTTGGAAGTTAGGATGATCGATCAGAATAAAATTATGACCGATCAGAGTTGGTTATGCTCGATCAGAATTGAATTATGATCGATTTAAGGCTGAGCCGCTCAAGCGATAACTTTATCGCTTGAGCGAGTTTATCCCCAACAACGAAACGTCAAACGCAGTTAGCCAAATACTTTAAGTTGGTTCACCACATATTAGAATCACTTTTCGCTCAAGCGTGCGAAACATCGCTTGAGCGAGATAGAACCCGAGAGTCTACCCTTTTTGAAGGCTGTGTCGCTCAAGCGATAACTTTATCGCTTGAGCGAGTTTCTCCCCAACGACGAAACGTCAAACGCAGTTAGCCAAATAATTTAAGTTGGTTCACCATATATTAGAATCACTTTTCGCTCAAGCGTGCGAAACATCGCTTGAGCGTGATAGAACCCGAGAGTCTACCCTGTTTGAAGGCTGCGTCGCTCAAGCGATAACATTATCGCTTGAGCGAGTTTCTCCCAAATGACGAAACGTTAATCGCAGTTAGCCAAATAATTTAAGTTCGTTCACCACATTTTAGAATGACTGATCGCTCAAGCGGTTAATACGGCGCTTGAGCGAGATAGAACCCGAGAGTCTCCCCTGTTTGAAGGCTGCGTCGCTCAAGCGATAACTCTATCGCTTGAGCGATTTTATCCCCAATGACGAAACGTTAAACGCAGTTAGCCAAATAATTGAAGTTGGTTCACCACATATTAGTATGACTGATCGCTCAAGCGGTAAATACGGCGCTTGAGCGAGATAGAACCCGAGAGTCTCCCCTGGTTGAAGGCTACGTCGCTCAAGCGATAACTTTATCGCTTGAGCGACTTTATCCCCAATGACGAAACGTTAAACGCAGTTAGCCAAATAATTGAAGTTGGTTCACCACATATTAGTATGACTGATCGCTGAAGCGGTAAATACGGCGCTTGAGCGAGATAGAACCCGAGAGTCTCCCCTGGTTGAAGGCTACGTCGCTCAAGCGATAACTTTATCGCTTGAGCGACTTTATCCCCAATGACGAAACGTTAAACGTAGTTAGCCAAATAATTTAAGTTGGTTCACCACATATTAGAATGATGGTTAAAGTACCCACTCAGAAGAAAAACTGAGAAGCGACTTCTTCAAGTACCCAAGCTGTGACCACGAAGGAGGTGATAGCCCCAAACAGTGAAGGCCAGGGTTCCCTTTGGTTAAGGTTCCACCGCTGAAGCGATGTCATCCTCGCTTGAGCGACTGGTGAACAACAGACGAAACGTCCTACGCAGTTAGCCATCTAATAAATCTTGGTTTACCACATATAAGATTCAATTGTCGCTCAAGCGATTACAAAGTCGCTTGAGCGCGACTGAACCCGAAGCGACCTTACATAGCGGTTAATAAGAACCGCTTTTAAAAATATGTATTAGATAGCGGTTAAACGTTAACCGATGTCTAAGGTCTGGGAATAATCGACTATAAGCTATAATAATCGATCATATTCGCTCATTTTGTAAAGTCGCTCAAGCGAATGTATCATCGCCCGAGCGAAGCCACCTCTAGAATGGGGATTCTTGGGTTGTGTTTCGCTTGAGCGACTATAGTCTCGCTCAAGCGACATTTGATTGACTTTGCAGAGCGGTGAATATCTTAACCGCTCTTAAAAGTAAACATATAATAGCGGGTCCATGTTAACCGCTATCTAAAATATACTTTTAATAACGGTTATATGTACCGCTCTTTTTAGTAGGTTTAGATAGCGGTTTCTAGAACCGCTATCTAAAGTCCCAATTTAAAAAAAAATTTGTCTAATATTTGGTTTGCTTATTTGGTCAAAAAACTAGGTTTGCTTTAAAATTATCTAAATTCCCAATTTAAAGTCTCAGAACTATTTTAATATTATTGGTTTGTTATATACTGAAATGTTTACAATTAGGTTTGGTTTTTTTTAAGGTAGTTTGCTGTTATCATGCAGTGTGATTTTTATTACATGTCTTTCATTGGACGTAATATAGAACCGATGATTGTTACATAAATGTATGGACCATGAACTGCTTCTAAATGCATTGAAGAAATTAAAATTGGTGTTACATTGTTATATTTACATCCACAACTCTTACAGGATCAGATAGTATAGTCTACACTACTGTTGCACGTCTATGTCCTATCATATATACTCTAACAAAATCAGAATGTATAGTCTACACTGCTGTTGCACGTCTATGTCCTTTCATATATATTGTTATATTGTTAACATGTGCAGATGAAAGTCCTGGCAACGTCACTAAGTTAGTTGTGGTCTAAATAACACTGCAAAATTCTATGTTGTAGATATTAACACTTATGTCCTGCAAGTTGAAGAAGAAATCATTAGTATACATCAACGTCATGCAATTCTAAACTAATGCAATATTCATTGTTGACAAAGTATTTCATTAAAAAAACAATGTTTCCAAACCATTTAGTTGAGGAAGACAATTGTGTGCCGTCAACATTACTGTCAAGTGATGTCAACAACGACACAAAACCAGTGGTACCCAATGTTGAT